GTAAAAGGTCTACTTTCTTTATTCCTAACATGATTAAAGACTTAATTAGAGATAAGGGTCCATGGTCCATTGTGGACCACATTAATTAATCTAGGGAATTCTAACTAACTTAAATTCTTTTTAACTATTTGTTAACGAAATTAATTCCATAATTAATCTTGATTTGAAGGCCGTAACATGGGATGTTACAATTAGAGCCCATGAGGACTAAGTTATATATGCCAACTTTTTGAAAATATTTTTCTAACTAAACAAGAAGGTGTTCAAACACCTTCCGATAAATAGCCACAATCTAGGAGGTGAACCTCACTTCTCGGATGTGGAATCTGAGAGATGAACCTCACTTCTTGAATGTGCTTTCGAATTTGTAATCTGAGAGGTGGACTTCTTGTATTGCGAGAAGTGAATTCTTAGTGCATTTCAAGAGTCACTTCTCGGTTTGGCAACGAGAGGTAGTTCTCGGTTTCAACCAAGAATATAATTTCACATTTAGTGTTAACCTTCCAAGTTTCACCTTTTGGGTGTACCATTTTGGAAGGTGTTAATTATGATCTTTAATAATAAATTTTGAATTAATTTCAATTTTAATTTAAAGAATTAAAATTTCTAACCGCCTTGTTAATTTTTATATTAAATTGTCTGTTATGAAGGTTACAAATTGATTTTTAAATCAGTGTAAATAACATGATTGAACGCTATTTGACTACCCGGGTTGGACTTCCATTTGAAAGGTTGTAAGTTCGAGCCTCAGTGGAGGCGTTATTGGCTCTTTGTGTTTCAGTAGGTTGAGAAAGTATATGAACAGATACTACAATGTAATAGAGCTAGTAGCATCCAAAAAAAAAACATGATTGAACGCTATTTGACTACCTCTCTTATATATAACGTTGTTGATGAGAAAGAGATTTTACACACACCAAAAAAAAAAAAGAAGCCTCTGAAACTTTGTCTTTCAAAAATTATGATCTTCCTTCTCTAAATTATTGTGTTCTTCCTTTGTTATTGTTTGTCGAATTTAATCGTTGAGTGTTCAATTTTTAAATTGAAATTCGTTCTATCCTGAAAAATCTAGATTATAATGTTCCTAGCTCTTTGGAAGGTAGTAGAAAATTGTGTTTTAGGGAAAGCGTGAGTGTCACACGACTCAAATTTGAACCCGTAACATTTCATTTTTTTACTTGTCGTATTTCAGAATTATTTCGATAATATTCATATAAATTCTGCATTGAGCTTAATCATAAATGATTTTAAAAAATGCGATGACTTTTTCTTCATATAATTCCTCTCATGTGAAATGGTTTTCAAATCGACTTGTCCACACATAAACTAAAAAAAAAAAAAAAAAAAAAAAAAAAAAAAAAAATTGTTAGACCACAAAGTACATTGAGTAAGTCCTAACTATATGAGACACATTTAAGTTCATACTATACATCATTACACACACCAACAAAATTGGTTAGTGGTGAAATCTTTACAATAGTCTTTTTAGTGTATTATACTCCGTATTGTATATATTTCATTTTGATTAAAAAATAAAAATATCCGTAGTACTTATAATTATATTAGCCATGAGCCCATGAGTGATGACAAACTCCCTCAACCCCACCCCCTCTAGCAGTTCAAACGTCACCTATATATCCACGCAGCCGCATTCATTCTCCACCTAGTAATCCCTAGTATGTATATCATAGCGACCAATAAGTGGGAAGTATTTGATTTCTAATACATCATTATCGTATTCTAGCTAACCTTGATTAAAACACTAACCAAGGTTTAGAAGGATGGAGTGAGTAATGATATGTCCTTTAGTGGGAGTGAGTGATCTTCTTGGGTTTTACGTAAGCATTTGGGTCCCAACAACTTTATTTAGATATCATTTCATGCAGGGCCATCCACAATCACAACCACAATTTTAGTTCCTTGATGTGATCTTGGATCCATATATATTTATATAATACTACAAAACCTAATTATATGTTAAATTCTTACATTTGTCATGTACTCATAATATCAAGTTAAGCAAAGTATTAAAAAACAAAGAGAGAGATAAGAAAAGTTAAAGTTGATCTACGCAATGGGTTGGTACATGTCACTTTATAGAAGTATGATGATCGGTGAAGAGTAAAAATATCTAATAGTTGCAAATGAAAAATAAAACCACTATGAAGATATTTTTTTGGGTCTACACAAGATTTTTCACCGTTTTTGAGTGGGACAAATGGCTTAGAGATCCCATCTTTAAATTGTAGACACTTCTTTTAGGTGGAACAACTAGCCTGGAGATTCAAGGCTGCTCCATATTTAAAGTCAATAATCGAACCTTTGAGCTTTGGTTAATGATGAATGAATTCCTTCCACTCAACCACACCATCCAAGTTCGGACTAGGAAGAATGGAAGATACTGTGCAACGAACTAGATCAAAATAGTGTTGGTAAGAATTGAACTTGTGAGTTTTAGATGCAATAATTATATCTACTCACTTGGCCACCTTTTTTAAGCTAAGTTACTGCTTATTATAAATAGTGAATTGATTAAGATGCAATGTTATATGCATTGTTGCAGTAGGCGCTAGTCGGGCGGCCGGGCAGTGCCTAGCGCCTAAGCGGTCTAGGCGGAATCTAGGCGGCGCTAGGCGGGCACCAAAAAAATTAAATAAAATAGTGACAGACTTGTAGTTTGACAATTTTAATGAGCTTGTTTTCAACCTTCAATCAAATAACACATCTAAATAAATGAAATAATGATAATTTATAAGTCATAACGTCATAATAATATTAAAATCAATAATTAATGAAAGACGACATCGGTGAAAATTGAACAAAATCGGTCAAAATCAGACAAAATCAGTCAAAATTGGACGAAATCAGTCAAAAACAGACAAAATCAAACAAAATTGGTCGACTCGGCCGAGTTGACCGACTCGACCGAGTTGGCCAAGTTTGGCCGCCTTTAGGCCAAAACGGCAAGGCTCGGTGCCGCCTAGCGCCTAGGCGGCCGAGTTTTGCAACCCTGGTTATATGACATTGTAGAAATTTTTAATAAATTAGTGTTTGAATTATATCATTAAACTTTAACAAAATATTTATTTGTCCTCACAAGTGCATATATTTTGTGAAACATACTTTAATTAGTATATGTTTAAGTGTTTTTGCATGAGGGAGATTAGATTCTTCCACACCTTGCGTGAGACGGATGTAAGGTGCATGATTTTTGTGAGTAAGGTGCAGTGATGCATCTGATTAGTGGTGTTGTGATGTATATTTACTAGGTCAAAAAAAGTATAAATCACAAAATCAAGCAAAATCAACAGTACAGTGCACAATGGTACACAAATTCACATGTTAGCAAAGATTCTCATTTGAAACTAAATACACGCGCGCGCACACACACACACACAGACACACACACACACACACACACACACACACACACACACACACACACACACACACACACACACACACACACACACACACACATATATATATATATATATATATGTAGAAAGGGGTTCCTGTGTGGTTGAGGGTGCCAAGTGCGGTTGTGCGGTGAAAGGAGAACCATTGGTTTTGCTTAAATCAACATTTATATTACTAAAATTAAATAAAAAAAATGCAATGGCATTTTGGTACTTTTTTACATTTAGGTCAAATGTATGATGCATTATTTTTGTGAGTAAGGTGCGTGAGTTTTGTATATAAGGTGTGTGAGTTTGTGCTTAAGGTACGTGAGATTTGTGCTTAAGGTGCGTGAGATTTGTGCTTAAGGTGCGTGGGGTTGTGTACTTAATGGTAGTAGTTGTTGAAATTTAAGGTGCGTGAGTTTTATGCTTAAGGTGCGTGAGTTTTATGCTTAAGGTGCGTGAGTTTTGTGTTTAAAGTGCGTGAGTTTTGTGCTTAAGGTGCGTGATTTGTATGCTTAAAGTGCGTCAATTATGTGAAACTTAAAGTGGACCGTTTTTAAAACCTTATATGCGTGATTTGTGTTCTTAAGGTGCTTTGTTATGTGGGCTTAAGATGCGTGGTTGGTGTTCTTAAGGTGCGTGATTTGTGTTCTTAAAGTGTTTTATTTATGTGTTTAATGTGCGTGTGCATCAGTTTAATGCTTAATGTGTGTCCAACCACACAAACGCACGGGAAGCTATTCCTGCACATAATCCCTTTGATACATATATATATATATATATATATATATATATATATATATATATATATATATATATATATATATATATATATATATATATATAGAAAAACGCTCATATGTGGTTATGCCGTTAGGTGTGGTCGTGTGGTCGTATCTGTGTCGTTGAATCAGTTTAATCTAAAGGCTGTGGTAATTCTGAGGATTTTCGCGCGTTTTAGTAAGTGGGGGTGTTATGGTAATTACAGTGACCATTTATAGCGGGCGGGTTCCAGAATACACCAACAGTGTTGACAACACACACCAATAGTGTAATAAAACACACCACAGTGAAACACACCAATGGTGTATTCCCGTGTTATGGTAATTACATTGGCCATTTATAGCAGTCGAGTTCCAGAATACACCAACAATGTTGACAACATGCACCAATAGTGTAATAAAACACACAACAATGTGATTTTCCTTATTCTGGTGTTTTATGACAAGTTTACCCTTACAGTTCGCTTGGTAGAAGAATGTGCGCGAAAATACTGAAAAAATCTTGATTAATATGATTCATTAGATCTATCTAATCTAATGGTCTATAATTGACCATATGACCACACCTAACAACATGGCCACATGTGATCACTCCTATATATATATATATATATATATATATATATATATATATATATATATATATATATATATATATGCCTTTTTGGAAATTTAATAACAAATTAAATGAAAAATGAAAGGAATACGTGTCTGCTTCTCATTTTTGTTTTAGATTATTAAAAATATTTCCTAGAATATTTAATGCAATAAACAATTATCGTATGGTTCCCCTTCCACTACATGCTTGGGACGTACACTCGAGTTGCTCATTCCCTTCCCAAGTAGCTTCACCTTTCGTGAAAGGTTACGCTCTATTCATTCTCTTTTTCCTTCTATTTTTTTATTCTTTTTAACCTTAAAATGCCATCATAAATGGTGGAAACGTCCGGCGGCAAAGCAGCACCAGAAGCGCAACCAGTGATCTAGCCGCCGCCCGCCGGAAAAAATGTTGGCAGCTATGGAGGTTAAGGCCGCGTTTGGCGAAGTGGTGCCTTGCATGGCCATGGTTATGGTAGAAGCTTGCACTATCTTCTTGACTATCATGGCTAGCACTGCCATGGCCAAATTTGGGACCAACCCTTTCGTCTTCGTGGTCTACACTAATGCCCTTGCCTCCATCTTCCTTGTTCCTTACTCAATCATATATCATCGGAGAGACAAGTACGAGATTAACATATGTACTATGTAGTATATATATATCCTTGTTTTTATCTATAACATCCTAAGGTAAGTACAAATTCCTTTTGCAGGGCTCAAGAACAATTGTTCACCTTTCCTCTTCTCTTGCGCTTATTCTTCCTTGGCCTAATAGGGTTAGTGATCTCTCTTCTTCTCACATCTATCACTTGTTTAAATTTATAAATAAAATGTTTTAAGTGCATATTCTTTGAATGTATTATCATATATAGTGTGTAGAGAATTATATATATTTTTAGCTATATCATTATAATTATTGTTAGGCGGAGGCTAGTGAAGGACCAAGTCCAGCACCAGTGGGTAGGGGATTGTTGGGCCGAGGGCTAAAGGGTCAAGTCCAGCATCCTGCCTCTAAAAAATGTGGTGGCAGTAATAATAAGCCCTTGGTCTAAGAAGTGGTATCAGGTCACTGTGCAGCTAAGGCTAGCAGGTGTTGGGGGGATTGTTGGGCAAAGTCCGGAGTTCACTATTGGCTATAGTTTTTGAGGTAGTTAAGGCGGAAAGGTATTAGGGGATATATTATTAGGCAGAGGGCCGGTCGGAGAAGGCCGGGTTCCCTACTAGCTAGCGACAATTTTTGGTGCAGTTAAGGTTGTCAAATATTAGGGGATTGTTGGACAAAGCTAAGGCCGGTGATGAGTTTAGTACTATTGGTTATAGTTATATCTAACAATTATTGTTTGAATTTTTGCAGTGTAACGATAAGTCAGAACCTTGCATTTGTTGGTCTAAGTTACAGTTCTCCGATCGCTGCTTGTGGAACAGCCAATATAGTTCCGGCGTTGTCATTTATTCTGGCCATCATTCTCAGGTTATTTATTTATTTATTTATTTTTACATGCATGGAAATTTATCTTTGAGTACAGTTTCTAGCTTTTAGCATTTTAGTTGGGATGCTCAATGTTGTTGCACCTAAAACAATAATTAAATGGCATAATAATAATATACTAAAAGAGAAAGATTGGTGTCTCTTTAAGTTTTCAGTAGGGCAAACTATGATAAGCCTAAGTGCTTGAATGAATAATGGTGAGACCTTGTTAATATTAAATTGTCAAATTCAAATTCTACTTTAGTTAGATGGTTAATCTATGTTCAATTTGCTTTAATCATGTGATCAACAGTAGTAGATTAATTTCTAGTTAAAATTATATATAGATTATTTAATTTGTGCATAATTACTTTATCATCAACAACTGCCAAAGACCTTGTGGTCAAACAGCATAATTGTGACTTTTCCAAATAGGAGGTCACAGGTTCGAATTGGGGGTTATAGGTTCAAACTCCATTTTCAATTTGCATGGGTGTTGTATTGTACATGAAACAAACACGGGTGGTTACAGATGTGTGACTGTATCATGTACAATAAGGGCAACCACTAGTTTTTGGGTGATTTTTGAGGTTGTAATGCTTATGTGGAGGAGAGAGGAGAGATGAGACGGAGTGTTTTGAGTTCTTGCACAAAGATCAAGGTTTTTGTCTCCTTGAGTGGACCCCATAAAAAAATTATTTTTTCTTCGCCTGAAGTGCACAGAAGTGCCCAGCCGGATGGGTGAACTACACGTGCCCGTTGGGCACTTTAACAATAGTTTTTTTTTCTTGACAACTTTTTTTTTTTTTTTTGCATCCCTCCTTCCCTCCTAGTTGATCCCTAAAAATTTAACAAATGAGAATGCTCCAAGACACCGCTACTCACTGCTGGAAATTATGGAATTTCCAACCACCTGAAAGTGATCTTAATTCAAGTCGAAAGCCTTGTTCCGACCATTTTTGGTATCCGGAAAAACCTTTCTTGCTATTTCCGACCACTTTTTATTTTCGAATTGATTTAAAATCACTTTCACGTGGTCGGAAATTCCATAATTTCCAGCAGTGACTATTTGACACGTTGAAGTTGTTCGTATATATCTATTTTATAAAAACCCACAAAACAGTTAAAAGAAAGGTTAACTTGATCATAAGGTCTTGAGCTGCAAAATTAACTTCTTAAAAACACAAAACAAAACTACTAATTATGTGTGGAAGAAACATTGTATTTTCCAAATCAATTAAGGTGGTGAAGAGAAGAAAGTTATGGGTTATGGTGATGTTGGGAGTGGAGGGTAAGAATTGAAGTTGGTTTAAAATATAAATATATAATCAATCAAGATCAAATTTAATGACCACGACTATATGGTCTAATGGTACTCGGGTTGGACTTCCATTTGGAAGTTTGTGAGTTCGAGCTTCAGTGGAGACGTAGGTTGAGAAAGTATATGAACAAAAGATCAAATTTAATGGTTATTGTCTAAATTTCAAAATACATACAATGAACTTTGATGGGGCACACCACTTTGGACCAAAGTTATTTTAATCCACAGATAATTTCAGACTTTGGACCTACTCACAGCTACTATTGTACCACAAATCGATTCCTCTTTTCTTTTCTTTTCTTTTTCTTCCTTTTTTTTTAAAAAAAAAAGTATATATTTTTATTATTGTATTTTGACCCTATAGTGACGATTTTTTTTTTTCAAGGTGAAATTTTTGAATTTTTGAACTAATGGAAACGATTAATCTAATTCTGTCAAATGATCGATAAGCATCAACCTGATCGACTTATACCCACATAAAATTCTGTTTTACATTAACAAAATAAATGACGGAACAACCTTGTCAATTCAGGACCAAATTTGTTACTTTGCAAAAAAATAAAGGTTGAAAAATGATTGCACTTAAAATAAAAGGCTATAGAAATGATATCACCAAAATACAATAATCAAAATCATGAATTATTATTATTATTATTATTATTATTATTATTATTATTATTATTATTATTATTATTATTATTATTATTATTATACACAAAAAGATGAATGAAAATTAATAACAAAATCACGAATACAAAGGTTCAACTTGTGCAGCTGCTAGGTGTTAAAATGGACAGAGGAGAGGAGAATAGACCCAACCAAAACTTGTGTCCACTACCTCTTTCACCACTGCTGCCACCCTACCGACACCACACTGCACCCATTAACTTCAATTCCCTTACAATGAAATCATCTATTAATAAATGCAATGTATTATATATAACATATGTATTTAAGTAATTATATATATATATATATATATATATATATATATATATATATATATAGGCACGTTCAGGCGAAACGGATGTCCAAGAAAGAACTGAGAACCAATCGCAATCGTCCACGTATCCAAATTTAACGGATCAGATGTAATTAAAAAAAAAAAAAAAAAAAAAAAAGGTGCAGTGGCATTTTCGTAAATAATTTGAACTTAAATAACATGTGTTAAAAATGCAAGTAAAATCACTTAATAGTGCAAGTAATTTACCTTTATAACATTGGTGCACTTAATGATAACGTCTTTCACATTAGTGCACTTAATGATAACGTTTCGTGCAACTAATGATAACGTTATGTGCACTTAATAATGATGCTCAGTGTACATTATTTGTTGCACTTTTAATACATTTTACTTGGCACTTTTAATACATTTTACTTGCACTTAGGTGCATTATATGTTTAATACATTTTACTTGCACTTAGGTGCATTATATGAAATTGTTACTTACATTTTTAATACAATTTACTTGCACTTCAAAGTTCAATTATTTACGAAAATGCAACCACGCTTAAAAAAAAAAACAGTGTTTTTGATAATACGTTAGATCTGAACACATGAACGGTTGCAATTGATTCTCAGTTCTCTCATAAGCATGTGGTTCTCACCTGATCCGTCTCCTATACCATTTTATACCTGCTCGTGCAATAACATGTACATAATATGCCTAATATATATTAATATATCATGTATTAATATTGAGACCAAATAGTAGTTACTATAATTCAAATAACATAGTGACTGTACTTATACAAAAAGAGCCATGCTATTACCACTGGTGTGTGTGTGTATATATATATATATATATATATATATATATATATATATATATTAAAGATAGATCCGACTCGGGAAAAAGTAGAGGCGACCCGGACTAGGGGTGGCCCCCAACCCGGGGCAGCCTCGGCCTAAGGCGGCTTCGGTCGACCTCGGCAGAAAGTAGCCTTGCAGTGGCCTCGGGGTGGTCTCCGGTGAGAGGTGGCCTAGGAGTGGACTCGGTGAGAGGTGGCCTCGGGGTGGCCTCAACCGGGGTGCCCGCCTTGTGCACTACATGCGCGGGCGTGGTCAAGGAGGATCCAACCGTCCATTCTATTCTCATGGAGTGGTTAGGAGGAAGCTTAGTATAAAAATGCTCATTATTGTCTTGGTTAGAACATCTATTCACATGTTCAATCATTACATCTACTTGTAATCTTCCTACAATACTACTATTAATACAAGAATTGTCTCGCGCGACATATATTCATTGTCTTTTAATTTCCCTTTTTATTATCCATTTATTTATTTCCTTTTATTAATCAGGTTTATTTCCATCAATATATATATATATATATATATATATTATTTTCTTTGTATATATATGGCTAATATAAGCAGAATTAATATATATATGCAGGAGAACAAAAATTGATTGGGAGAGTGGAGGAAGCCAGGCAAGAATGATTGGGGCCTTGATATGTACAGTGGGAACAATATCACTTATTTTTTACAGGGGACCAGTGGTGAACAACTATTCCCCAACATTCCTACACCTATCCACCACTCAATTTGTATTCTCCTCATCAACAAACCAACAAAATTGGGTTCTGGGTTGCCTCTGCTTCATAGCTGCTTCATTAACTCTTTCTATATGGAATATAATTCAGGTAATTTCTACTTTATTTCATCACAATCAATTACTTAAGCCCATACTCACCAAAAAAAATTACTTAAGGCCATCTCCAACCAGGCGCCAAATCACCAAAGTTGGAGGAAAAAATAGCGTAGTAGTGCTCCAACTAAGACGTCATTGCACTAAATTTTTGGTGTAGCATGAATAATGTATGGCGCTGCACTATTCATCCTAAGCTATTTTTGGTGTAGATTTATTTTTCCATTTGCGTTTGCTTTTTTTTAATCTTTTTTTTTTTATAACTCTTTTGTATCCTTTTTGTTATATATATATATATATATATATATATATATATATATATATATATATATATATATATATATATATATACATATTTTGTTAAATATTTAAACATATATTATATATATTATTAAAAAAATTTATATCATTTGAAAGATCTCATCAAGACAATTAAAACAAGACTAATATTAAATATAATTTAATAAAAAATTAAATTACATAAAACATAATTAAAGTTTAATTTATTAAATTACAACTATATGTTATATTAAAATAATAAAAGTATAAATAAAAACTTTTAATTTATATAAATTATTTTAGTGTAGGAATAAAAATGGGTGTAAATGGGCTGGAGATAGAAAAAAATTTGGTGTAAGAATATGCTGGGAATATTTCTTTTGGTGTAAAATTTAGTGCAGAATTTGGTGTTTTATGTAGAAGATGGTCTAATACTCCATTTAATGTAATAATATGCCAAAATTATATCCTACTATTTTTAATTATCTCATGAAAAAACAGACTTTTTATCCCTTAATTATTTTGCGTGTTGAAACTGATATTTATTTGAGTTACTTTTATTTTCTATGTGCGATGCGCAAAAATAAGTGCCCAATATTAGTTCTTTATATTAAAATCTTAGATTTATTTAGATTTTAGATATTTATATTATTGTAAACAATAATAATAATAATAATAATAATAATAATAATAATAATAATAATAATAATAATAATAATAATAATAATGTAAAACATTTTTATAAAATTAATTACTTTCATATATATTGATAATTTATATTTCGTTACAAATTAAAGGCTATGTTATAATAATTTCAATATATATAACTTGCATAATAATTATTTTTGGAATTATTATTTTTCTTTTTTGGGGTCAGGTGGGAACAATCAGAATATACCCACAAGTAATGAAAATAATGTGTGTATATAGCTTATTTGGGACGGTCCAATCTGGAGCACTCTCTTTGTTCATAGTAAGAGATCTCAATGCTTGGAGGCTAGGCCTCAATTTCCAACTCATCGTCATTCTTCTAACTGTAAGTATATTAGCTTGGAATATACAAATTTGCTTTAATTAGTTTTTTCTCTGACGGGTATCAACAACTCAATTGGTCACAAAAATAAAGTTTAAAAATAATAACTTGGGATCAAGTTTTATCAACAACAATTCATTTGAGTTATCATAATTTATTTACATCCCTTTCCACATGCTCTGTTAGGCCGACACTTTTTCTCCCTGAAAAAGTGGCTCAAATCCCCCACCCCTCCTCCAATACGTTAAATGGGCATTTGTACTCTTAAAAATAAAGGTAAAATAGGTATTCTAACTTACGTTCATTCTCCACTAAATTATTGCTTATATATAGGATTCATAATAAATGCGGAATTTTAAGATAATATCAGTAACATAACTAGCTAAGACTTACCACAAAATCAACATTAATCAATATTAGCTTACAATCATAATTATAAGATTTACAAATGGTGTAGGTTCTTTTTTCGCATTCCACATATAAGCAATAATTTATTAGAGAAGAAATACTAAATGAAAGACCTATTTTACCTTTATTTTTAAGAGTACAAATATCTATTTATATATTTAACATAAAGGTGAAAAAATAGTCACTTTTAAAATGACACACGGATAATGTGAATGCATAAATAATTTATTTTAAAAAGAGTGTTATAAACATATAATTCAGAAGAAAAAAAGGATCATTTTTCAGTTTTTTTTTAATAAAACTCGTAACTTATAATTAATGTATTTAATATTATAATATATTGTAGGCCATTTTTGGGAGTATAATTCGTAGCAGTGTGCAGTTATGGTGCATGCGCATGAAAGGTCCATCTTTTCCACTCATTTTCAAGCCTGTAGGGATTGTTGTTGCCAGCTCTTGTGGCTGCTTATTCTTTGCTGATACTTTTCACTATGGAAGGTACAATTTTTATTTCTTACAATACCATGAATTAAACTTACTGCATATATAAATTGTGCCTTTTTTATGTTTTACTAATTAACTGAAAATAATGAAATGTGCAGCATGTTTAGTGCGTTTATATGTGGAATGGGTTACTACACTACGATTTGGGGGCAATTAAAAGATGAAGAAATACAACAGATCAAGGGCAGTTCTGTTTCTTTACCTGATGAAAAAGTCCCACTTCTCCAGCAGTCGCAAGATGATTCACCGGTTTAAGGTTGTATGATCCTCAAAACGTTAAATTGTGATTTTTTTTTTTTGTATATAAATTAGGAAATGGGTGTGATTTTCAAAGCCCTAAATCCCATGCATGTTGAACAATATAATATATAAGTATAGAAGAGGTTGTTCAACTATGTTCTGTGTCTAGATTTTGGTTAGTGTTAGTTTGTGGATGTTCCTCTTGTAATTAAAGCACTGTTGAGTTGAGAGTAAAAAAACAGGTCTTTGTAATTAAGCATCGAGTATATTTGGGTTGGTTGAGAGTAAAAAAACATGGTCTTTGTAATTAAGCATTGAGTATATTTGGATTTAAAATTATTGTTACATTGTGTTATTTTGAGGCAAATTATGCAGTGCATCCGTATGCACCATGCATGGTGCATACGGATGCAAAAACGACATCGTTTTAATAAAACGCGCGTCTCCCTTTAAAAAAAAAATCAGGTTCGATTCCCAGCAACAACATATGAACTAAAATTCCATAATCAATGAACTATAATTCCATAATCGATGAACTACAATTCCATAATCGATGAACTATAATTCCATAATCTAATCTATGAACTAAAAATTCCAGAATGAATGAACTAAAATTCCATAATCTATAAACTAAAATTTCAGAATCGATGAACTACAATTCCATAATCGATGAACTATAATTCCATAATCAATGAACTATAATTCCATAATCTATGAACTAAAATTCTAGAATGAATGAACAATATAATGTTATTGCTGGGAATCGAACCTGAATTTTTTTAAAAGGGGAGACGCGCGTTTTTTAATAAAACAACGTCGTTTTGACATCCGTATGCACCATGCATGGTGCATACGGATGCACAGCATAACGATTGAAGCTGCCAAACAGGCCAACCTGACCTCCGGAAACGGGTCGGACCGTTTTTTACACGGGTTGAGTTTTTTTCAATCCAATTCGCGTTGGGCGAGTTGACGGGCTAAACGAAGTATCCTGTTTATTTATTTTATAATTTATATTGTTAATTTTTTTTTTTTGTATAACTAAGAAAATCGCCATAAAATTTTGAAGTTGATAGTGAACGATGTAAGCTTTTGTCCACTATCCGTTCCCCCTAGAACATAAATGAATGAAAAAGCGTGAGGATAATTCTAAACTTGAGATGGACCCATACGAAGTCGCGAACGCTTTACATGATATCTTTGTTTCTGTGGCTCTCCAGGCGCCACAGTCAATTATAATTTTATCAAGTTTTCGCATGAGCCGCATGATGGGACGCTTAACCCCTGTGAATTTACAATAGAGGGCCCATGAGGTGATCTTTTTTTTTCTTAAGCACTGTGGGGTTGAGAGTAAAGAAAAAGGTCTTTGTAATTATGGAATGAGTATATTTGGCCATTTGGGTTTATAATTATTGTTAAATTCTGTTATTTAGAGCTGTCAAAACGGACCAGGTCAATTTCCAGAGAAACAGGCTGGGACGATTTTTTCACGGATTGAGATTTTTTTAAACCAACCCACATTTGGCGGGTTGATGGGCCAACCCTTTTATTTATTTTATAGTTTATATTGTTAATAAAATTTTTTATTTTTGTATAACTTAGGCTCTGTTTGGCAGAGCTTATTTAGGAGCTTATAGCTTATTTTAAGCTACTAATGAGCTATAAGCTCTGTTTGGTAATGTTCCCAAAATAAGCTCCTAGCTTAAAATAAGAGCTTATTTTGGAACGCTACCTTAAGTAGCGTTTCAAAATAAGCTCCTAGCTTCCTAAGTTTTTTTCCATCTTTATCCTTATTATTTTAAAGAAATGACATAATTTACCCTTCCCAATTAAAACATTTTTTCTCTTCTCCTTTATTCGCAACTTTCACCACTTTCACCGCAAATATTATAATAATAATAATAATAATAATAATAATAATAATAATTATTATTATTATTATTATTATTATTATTATTATTATTATTATTATTATTATTATTATTATTATTATTATGAGATTTGCAACAATATTGCTACTTCATTATGAGATGCTAGATCATGATTATGCTAATAGTTTTATTTTAAAATGTTGATTTTTTAAAAAGACAAAATGTTAAATTTTAATATGTAAACAAACTAATTTAAATTTTATGAAGATGTCCTTTTTAGTCTTTTTACGTTTATCAGCTTATCCAAAAGCTAATTTTACCATCAGCTTATCCAAAAGCTAATTTTACCAAACACTTTCAATCATAACAGCTAGCTTAACAGCTCTTCAGTTTTCAGCTCCGAGCTTATAGCTTTTCAGCTAGGTTTGCCAAACAGAGCCTTAATAATCAAACCCCAACTTCCAAATTAAATCAACACTATTTCCAACCAAACACATTAAGCTTTTTGAACAAATACCATGTATATGTATACACACACATATATAAAATTAGATTTTTTATTTTTAATATATAATTATTATTTATTTAATTTATATTTAATACTAATATATATAGTTTACATGTAATTTTTTTATTTTGTAATTATAATATTATTAAGTTATAAAATATATAATTTATAACTTTATATAATTTATATAATAATAAACTTTATAATAATATTTATATAAAGATACAATTAATTGTATTAATTAATACTAGTAATAAATATAATATAAATAAATTATATATATAATGCTTGTGTGAATGAATAAATATATAATTATATAAAAATATAATGCTTGGTCCACCGTTGGGGTGATTGTTGTTGTAATATCCTTCAATGCGGTTCTAAAATGTGTCACCCTTTTGCTCATTGCCCTTACTTGAATCTTGTCTGATTTTGGTGTAAGCACGTGTCAACATTTTGTCATCCTCGACATTCCATACTTGTCGACGACTCTCTGAATTTTTTGGTGGTGGATTAATTGTTACTTCATTTTCGCTTTGTGTAGGAAAAGGCGAAAATTGAGTAAATTGTATATTACCCGGAATTTGGCCACTTGGTATGTTGATAGGAAATTGAGAAGACTCCGCAAATTGAGAGTTTTGAAATATAGGCGGAAATAAAGAAAATTGAATATTACCCGGAAGTTGGGCATTTTGTGGAAATTGAGAGTTTTGTAAAAATTGAAAATTTGGTGAAAATTGAACATTTGTTTGAAATTGAGAATTTTGGGAAGATGGTTGAGAAAAAGGAAAATTGGATTGTGAATTTTAATTGGAAGTATTATCTTTTTCCATTATGATAAAAGAAATTGAGTAGAAATTGAGAGAATAATAGAAATGAATTGAGAGTGGATAAAATGTAAAAAAAAAAAAAAAAAAAAAAAAAAAAAAAAATTGTGAAGACAAGTGGTATTTATAGATACATATATATTATATATATATTTTTTAAAGTATCCGTTACCAGCAACGACCCGAAATGTGACCGTTGCTGGCAACGGATAAATTCTGGTCGTTGCTCGGCCAGCAACGGCCAGAATTGTATTCAATTGAGAGTGGCCGCCAGCTCTCAATCGCCCAGCCGCGACACGCGCCCACTGGGTGGTCAGTGAGACGCAGTTGCGTCTCACTGCTTTGTTTTTTTTTTTTTTTTTAAATTTCTGACATGCTGGTCCGCAGTAAAATTTGTCATTACGGCCAACCCGCTAAAATCCCCATAACCATATTAAAATAGAGCAATATTGCAAAATGAAACTAAAATGTAATTAAAATGCTGGTCCACAATAAAATTTGTCATATACAGCCAACCCGTTCCCCACACCTGTTATACAGGTTGGGTTGAAAGCGGGTTGTTTTTGAAAATTCTCTAATCCAGTTTGTCTAAAATACGAGTTAAATAGGTCAAACTCTACGAGCTGGACCCGTCTAAAATATGAGTTAAATAGGCCAAACTCTACGATCCGGACCCGTTTAAACATTCTCTAATCCAATTCGTCTAAAATACGAGTTAAATAGGCCAAACTCTACGAGTTGGACCCGTTTAAACATTCTCTAATCCAATTCGTCTAAAATACGAGTTAAATAGGCCAAACTCTACGAGCTGGACCCGTTTAAACAGCTATAGTGTTATTTCAAATTAATTAATATTATATATTGAAGATAGCATCAGCCCTCAAGTGAATTTGAAAAGTACATATAACTTGTTCATTTAGCTTTTTGCAAAGAACAACATAACATATATATTTAACTTCAAAGGTACAATCTAGTTCCTTTACAAATGAAATAATATGAGCCTATAAAGAAACAACAATCTTAACTATTCAATTCGTTTCAACTTGACCCTTTTTTTGTCTAAGAAATAATATAATTGGGATAATAGTCATACATCAATAAAATATTTAAGATGTCTAGAGTGATCAAGATGAGATCCCCCTTGTGAGGAGGGTCCGTTCGTTAGAGTATATTCCGAGTTCCCCTCCTTCATGATTTAAAAACTATTAATATTAGAGAACAAAGCAGAAGCAGACGAGCAAAGAGAAGGAAGGAGATAGCCAAGTCTGTTCAGGGGTGTTGTTGACCTTTTTTACTCTTCTGGATTCAGTTGTAACCACCCCTTCCCGCCATTGTCTTCTATATATATATATATATATATATATATATATATATATATATATATATATATATATATATATATATATTTGGTTGTAACCTTCCAAGAAAGTAATGAGAAAATATCTTCCCTTTCAATACATGCCTTTCGTTTCTTCATACTCTGAACATGTCTTCGCCGGCTTCCGTCATGGTATTAGAGCCACAGCGAGGTAGTTACGCCGCCGTCGTCACCGATTCCGGCGAATCCAGTCAGGGGACTCATCCTGCGTCTCCGATCAATAGATCGCCTACGCGACCGTCTCCGATGAACAATCCGCAGAGGAATAATGACACGGAGAACATCGAGAATCTGTTGTTCTTGAGCGCCAATGAGAGTCTGAACACCATCCTCGTGAGTCCACCGCTTAGCGGCACTGCGAATTATGGAACATGGAGTATTTCCATGCGTGTCGCACTGGAGGTGAAGAATAAATGGACGATCGTGGACGGGAGCTACGAAGCACCAGACAGAGCTCAGCCACAGTTTGCAGCTTGGAGAAGGTGCAATCTCATCATATGTGCATGGATCCTCAAATCAGTTCACTCGTCCATCGCACAGAGCCTCATGTACATAGACAAGGCAGAGCAAATGTGGAATGATATGAGGAAGAGGTTCTCACAACGAGATCCTCACCGAATTTCATCTCTACAGAACGAGATATACTCGTTGAAGCAAGGTAGTTTATTAGTGAATGACTATTACACTCGATGCAGGATCCTTTGGGAACAGATGAATGAATTGAGGAAATCCGAACTGAGCATGAAATTGACCAGATAATCAGGTTCCTACAAGGTCTCAATGAAGGATATAACTCTCTGAAGTCTAGTGTTCTGGTGTTAGATCCCTTACCTGACATGCACAAGATATTTGTCATGGCTGAAAAATTTGAGAGACAATTAAACATTGCAAATATGAATCTTACTGGAATAGAACTCAATCACGCAAATGTTGTCCAAACTAATCAGTTTGCCTTAGAAGATGTGGTGGCCGCTGTTAATCAATACAATAACCGGAAGAATTTCAGTAATGGTGGTGGAAACAAATCTGCTAAGTGCACTTTTTTGCGCATGACCGATCACACAATAGAGAAATGTTACAAAAAGCATGGCTACCCACCCGGTTGGGTACCAGGCTATAAATCCAAGGGAAAACAGCAAGCAATAGCAGCTACTGCTAGCCAAGAAGCTAGTATCACTCATGAACAACTTCAGAAGTTAATGTCCATGTTGCAAAATCAGATGGGAAACAACCTGCCCTCCCCTACAACTGCTGCTGTTACCCTCATTCCAAAATTCAATGAAGCAGAATCCCAGAAGGAAGGAAAGTATTATCCTACTACTCATATAAACTCAGTTTCTTTACATTCTTTCTCTTGGATTTTGGACTCTGGTGCGACTGATCATATAGCATGTTCTCTGGATTCTTTTGATGATTATTATGTGGTTGAAGGAACTATGGTTAATCTGCCAAATGGGAAACACATTAGGGTTGAACATATGGGGAACATAACACTTGGGGATGGCATATGCTTGAGAAATGTGTTACATATTCCCTCCTTTAAGTTCAACATCATATCTGTTAGCAAATTGCTCAATAATTCTCCTCACCTCCTAACTTTTACCAATGATCAGTGCCTTCTTCGGGGGAGCCATGGGAGGACAGTTGGTTTTGCTAAAGAAGAAAATGGTCTGTATCTACTGCTTGAACCACCTCAGATTACTGTTAATTCATGTAAACTTTCTATACTGCCAAAACTTGGCACCAAAGGCTTGGACATTTTCCCATGAATAAAATGAGCCTTCTATGTGATATTTCTATTCCTCACAATAAGAATTTTGCATGTGATGTTTGCCACTATGCGAAGCATAAAAGGTCCCCATTTCCCTTAAGTAATACAGTATCAGATATTTGCTTTGAACTGGTGCATGTTGATATTTGGGGCCCTTTCTTGGTTCATTCCTTGGGAGGGGAACGTTACTTCTTAACCATGGTAGATGACCACTCAAGATATACATGGATACACCTAATGAAGCACAAGTCTGAAACACAGTCCTTGATCAAGAAGTTTCATAAATATGTTCATACTCAATTTGGATTGCCTATCAAGACTATACGCAGTGATAACGGTTTGAAGTTTAACATGGTGGAGTTCTTTGCTGAGCATGGTATAATACATCAAAGGTCTTGTGTGAACACCCCACAACAAAACGCAGTAATGGAACGTAAACATCAACATATTTTGAATGTAGCTAGAGCCTTGCGTTTTCAAGCTAATCTCCCATTATTTTTTTGGGGGCAATGTGTGTTGCATGCAGCTTTTCTTATTAACAGACTTCCTTCACCAGTTATAAGATGGTCCAGCCCCTATCAAAGATTATATGGGAAGCCACCAGATATCAGCAATTTAAAGGTGTTTGGATGCCTATGCTATGCGTCTACATTGCCTCAATCTCGCCACAAGATGGCAGCTCGCAGCAGAAAGTGTATTTTTGTGGGAGTTCCAGCAGATATTAAAGGTTACTTGATGTTTGATCTTCAAGAAAACTCTACTTTTATCTCAAGAGATGTGACATTTTATGAGGAACAATTTCCCTATGCTGAAGGATACAAGAACAAAGATGAGATTGAGCCTGGTCCCCCCCTGCCTATTATTCCCATTTCTGGTTGTGAAGAGTTCAATTTTCAGGACCATTCTGGTGTCCAACCACAGTCCTCAACCACACATATTAATGAAGAAGGATCAGTTCAGATAGTTGTTGATACCAGTAGTCCCTCAGCTGTTCCAATTGACAACACTAGCAGTTTCCCATGTCAAATTCTGAGCATAACGAAGCAGGCAACATAGATGCAGATAACACGAGCACAACTTGCTCAAACCCTCCCATGCAGCCTCGAAGATCAGCCAGGGAACGTCATATGCCCAATAAACTACAAGATTATTACTGTGACATAGTTGCTACAATTGGAACATCACCACATCCTCTATCAAAGGTGATATCCTATAATGATCTTGAGCCCATGCACAGAGTTTTTTCCATGGCAGTAATCAACAATAGCGAGCCAAGAACTTACAGCCAAGCCATCAAACATGATTGCTGGAAGAAAGCAATGGAAGCGGAGATTGATACCATCAAAAAGAATCAAACATGGGAACTGACACAACTCCCCCCCCCCCCCCCCCCCCCGGGAAAGTTCCTATAGGTTGTAAATGGGTATATAAAGTGAAGCTCAAGGCTGATGGTAGTGTGGAAAGATACAAAGCAAGGCTCGTGGCGAAAGGCTATACGCAACAACTAGGCATAGACTACCTCGAGACGTTCTCTCCAGTAGCAAGGATAACTACCATCCGAACTTTCCTTGCAGTGGCAGTTTCCAAAGCCTGGCACATCCACCAAATGGTTATAAACAATGCCTTTTTACATGGTGATCTAAATGAAGAAGTATACATGGTGCTACCACCTGGATTTCAAAGTGAGAAACCGAATCAAGTTTGCAAACTACTACGATCCCTATATGGCCTCAAGCAAGCGAGCAGGCAGGGGAACGCTAAATTGAGCATGTCTCTGATTCAAAATGGTTTCAAACAGTCAAGCTCTGACCCCTCTGTTTACAAAAGGAGCTGGGGAAAATTTTATTGCTCTACTAGTTTATGTTGACGACATAATTGTGGCTTGTGCTAACATGGAACCAATTCGTCAACTAAAGCTATTTCTGGATAGCACTTTCAAGATAAAGGATCTGGGAACTCTAGGATATTTTCTGGGGATCGAGGCTAAGGCAGAGGCAGATGGATTAAATATTTGTCAACGCAAGTATGCATTAGACATACTGGAAGAGACTGGTTTTCTTGGTTGCAAGCCTGCAAATACACCAATGGTGCAAGGCCTTAAATTAAGTCATGGTGATGGCATACCTCTTGAAGATATCAATAGCTATAGAAGGTTGATTGGGAGATTGCTATATCTCACGGCAACAAGGCCTGATCTCACCTTTGCCATCCAACAACTCAGTCAATTCATTGATGCTCCTACAGACAAACATATGTCTGCTGCTCATCGTGTGCTCATGTATATCAAAAAATCTCCAGGCCAGGGACTTTTCTATCCTGCCAACATGAACATAGAGCTCAAAGTCTTCTCCGACTCAGATTGGGCAGCCTGCTGTGACACACGAAAATCAGTAACTGGCTACTGCATATTCCTAGGTCCTGCACTGATTTAATGGCGTGCCAAGAAACAAGTCACTATATCTCGCTCATCCTCCGAAGCCGAATATCGTGCATTGGTTGCTGCCGTATGTGAGGTTCAATGGCTCACACTTACATTCTACGTGACTTACAAGCTGCATTAACCAGACCAGCGACAGTGTTTTGCGATAACAAGTTGGCTATTGCCATTGGTGAAAACCACGTCTTTCATGAGCATACCAAACACATTGACATTGACTGTCATATAGTACGCGAGAAGCTGAGCCAAGGATTAATTAAACTGCTGTCTGTTCCGACAACCAGCCAGGTTGCTGATGGCTTTACAAAGCCTCTACCAGTAGCTCAATTCCAACATTTCATCTCTAAGCTGGGCATACAAGACCTGCATGCGCCAGCTTACAGGGGGTATTAGAGAACAAAGCAGAAGCAGACGAGCAAAGAGAAGGAAAGAGATAGCCAAGTTTGTTCAGGGGTGTTGTTGACCTTTTTTACTCTTCTGGATTCAGTTGTAACCACCCCTTCCTGCCACTGTCTTCTATATATATATTTGGTTGTAATCTTCCCAGAAAGTAATGAGAAAATATCTTCCCTTTCAATACATGCCTTTCGTTTCTTCATACTCTGAACATGTCTTCGCCGGCTTCCGTCAATTAACTTTGTTAATGTGTTTATTCTTCTTCTTCTTTTTTAATTAAAATTAAAATTAAAAAAATCCTAAAGTATATCATTTTAATCCAAAAAATTGATGATATTAATGCAAATTAGTACGCAATAATTAAAGGAAATAAAGAGTAAAACAAGAATGGTTATTGAATGGAATGAACTGAGTTCAAAAAGTGAATAAATGTCTAAATATTATAACTTATGAACTATTTAATACTAAACAAATACGGAGTAATGAACAACTAAATAGATCACTAAGTAATCAATGATCTTGTAGTCTAGTGGCATAGAGTGATGAAGTGACTCTCACAAATAGGAAGTTATGGATTTGAACCCTAGTGGAGGCTTATATAAACCATGAATACAATATACATTTTTAATATACTAATTATTTGTGTATTGAATGTACATTATTTGATAGTATACAAACAATACACTTTCAATATTTAAATAATGTACTTTACGTACACAAATAATGTATTTTTGGTATATTAAAAATGTACTTTTTATTTATAGTTCATGCAACTGTATAGACCATGGTCTATGGAATAATGATTCATTATTGCATGGACCACTGTCCAAAAATGATGTCGTTTTCTGTAATTTTTCTTTTATCACGCGACCCATTGCAACATACATTTTTATAACTCATAATGTACATTATTATAAAGCATAACGTATATTATTTTAACTCATAAAGTACATTATTTTATCCTAGAAGTTTCATTATTCAACACATAATGTACATTATTCTAACACATAATGTATATTAGTCTAACATATAATGTACGTTACTCTAACACATAAAGTACATTATTCTAACTCATAATATACATTATTTTAACTCATAAAATTCAACGACGTAATTTTGGACCGCGGTCCACACAACTATGTGAACCATGGTCCACACAATAATTTGTCATGCAATAACTATTAGCAATTATATCGTGGACCATGGTTCAAAAACAACGTCGTTTTTTTAAGTAAAGAAACAGCTGCCGTTAAAGCTTAACGGTGCCCGTATTTTTGGTGTGTTAATTACAAAATGAAACTACATTGTATCTAAAATGAAACTGTCTCACATATTGTTTTTATATTATCAAATGAAATTGTAGTTGTGTTGAAATGAAACTTTAGTGTATATAAAATGAAACAGGATAATAGTTTCACATATTTGAATGTATATTATCCATGAAACTGTATTATATCGAAATAATATTGTAGTTGTGTTGTAATGAAATTGCAGTGTAGATAAAAAACTTAATATGTTATACAACAAAACTAATTTATGTAGATCGGCGCGAAACAAATGTCGTTTCTTTTCATCGTTTTTTTTACCATGGACCACAATGTATTGTGGATCGCGATCCACACTAAAATTTGCCAATAACTATTGGATTGATGAGCATCAGTCATTCTTCCAAAAGGCTGAACCCCAACCCTAAGGCCCCCCACACCCCGGCCCGACAGAGCATTTGGGAGGATGTAAATCATGGTGACTCAACTGAACATTAATCACAGAGGCTAGACCGGTGCTCACTGCGCACAAGGAACCCCCCTCACTTCCCCCCTCACTTTGAGAGGTAGGCTAGACCGGTGCTCACTGCGCACAAGGAACCCCCCTCACTTTGAGAGGTTGCTACCACACTGCCGCTGGTGAAACTCGATCCCTGGTCATTCTTCCAAAGTTTCACCTCTATGACCAGTTGAGCTACCCATGCGGGCTGATGAGCATCAGTCATTATATCGTGGACCGCAGTGCATAATCGATTATGCACCGCGCATCAAAATAGCGTCGTTTCTTTAAGTAAAGAAACGACGCGTTGTTAGTGTTAACAGAGTGACACTACAATGTATCTAAACCGACACTGCCTCACCTATTATTTTTATATTATCAAATGAAACTGCAGTTATATCAAAATGATACTGTAGTTGTGGTGAAAAATGAAACTTCAGTATATATAAAATGAAACTGAATAACATTTCACATATTTGAGTGTATATTGTATAATGAAGCTGTAATTATATCGAAAGATCATGTAGCTGTGTTTTAATGAAACTATAGTGTATATAAAATAAAATTAAAATAAATAACATTTCACATATTTTGGTGTATAAATATTGGATGAAACTATAATTATATCGAAATGAAACTGTAGTTGTGTTGAACTGAAACTGCAGTGTATATAAAATAAAACTGAAGAACAGAGTTATTTTTTGCGGAACGGTGCGGAACAACGTGAAACGGATTTCATTTCTTTTCATTAAATAAAACGGGACGTCGTTTTGATACGCGGTGCATAATTGATTATGCACCGGTGCACGATATAATTTGCCTATGAGCATCCAAGAATTACGAAACTTTTCGAGTTTTGGTCACAGCCCATCTCGTCTAGCCCAGCCCACTCGCCAACATCCCTAGCCATGGCAGCTTGCCAGCTTCAGAGAAATCAAACATCATTGTTTCTCGCCATAAACCTTTAATCCGATTAAACCCTTTCTCTTTGGGCGAATTTTTTACCTGTATCCGATTAAACCCTTTAATCCTAGCAAGCTTTTGAATGGAAGCTCAGAGCAGGGTTTTTAGGCTCTCTTCGCCATCACCTGCAAAAAACCCAAAACTTCCATTATTGCATACCCATAACTCTTCTTATATTCCATCAAATATTCAATCTCCTAAATGGGTCTCCCTCAAAACCCAATTTTCTCCCGCTTCACTTTCTTCCTCGCCCAAGAAAGGCTCCTCTACCAGTTGCGTAAAAGCACTGGAAACAGAAACTCTATCCACTCCTCGAAATGATTCGAACGCAACAATCAGGAAGAAGAACTTGGCGGTTTTCGTTTCTGGTGGAGGCTCAAACTTCAGGTCAATCCATGAGGCTGCCGCTCAAGGGACCGTTCATGGAGAGGTGGTTGTTTTGGTCACCAATAAACCTGGTACCCACTATTCCGTTCTCATTTCTTTACTGTATATGTTTGAATTTTATTTATTTGTTCGGAAAAAAAGTGTCTGATAGGTCATGAAATTATGGTTTTTGTGCAATTAGGTCATTGAACAAGCAAAATATGTGTAATAAGACATTTTTTGGATTTCTTTTAATGCAATTTGAGTTGAGAACATTTCGATTTTTCCTTGGTAATGGCAAAGGAAAGGGGGATTCTTAATATATATACCATGTAAGTAATATGATTTGGATTTTACCGGAAAAAAATGAAAAAAAATAAAATAAAAATGTCCCAATGCATATATTTTCCTTGTTTGATTTATTTGACATTTTTTCCTATTTATTTTGTAGTTTGTAGCCTTGTGACAATGCTAGTTATGTTATAGATTTGCAAAGTTCATAACTTTACTACAGAATTATTTTAAAAGAAAAAAAATTGGTTCAATTAGTTTGTTTTTATGTTTTGTTTTATTGTTTATGCAAAATTCTGTAACTTTACTATTGTAATGGAATGGAGTATGCTTCATGAGCCCGATACCTCTTAATGGGATATTTGAGATCATATATTCCTAATGTATTTTGTTCAAGCATATCTTATGACTAGTAAAGTCTTAATATATGAAGTTATTAAGTGAAATATTCAAAAGTTATTTTTGTTAGGAATAAGTCTCCTGGTCTTTTGGAATTTCCTCGAAAAGGATCCGTAGTTTTTGTTTAGTAGTTTATGATGTTGTTAATGTGCAATTATCTCTTCAATCTTTCGGCATTTGCCAGCTGAAAAGACCTCATTGCTCATTATGCATTATTGTCATTTATCTGGATATGCAATGCAGATTGTGGAGGTGCGGACTATGCCAGAGATAGAGGAATACCTGTGATTGTGTTTCCGAAACCAAAGAATTCAGATGAGGGGTTTTCTCCCGAAGATCTTGTAGCTGCTCTAAGGTGTAGGTTTTTTTTTTCCCCTGAAAGAATAACGTAGATCTTTTTGTACTGTGTGGAAAGCATTAAAATATCTTTTCGTTACCAATTTCTGCTATAGAATTGGCAAGAGGAGGGGAAACACTCAAACACACACACACGCACGCACGCATATTTCCTTTGAACAAGTTTTAGTCAAATTCTTTTTCTTTGTATTGTGTCATCATTAGAGACTATAGAATTCTGTCATTTTCTTAATTCTATATCTTCTAATATAAATTACCTATCCTTATGTTTCATGTAGAACGTACAATGTCGACTTCATTCTTTTAGCTGGGTACTTAAAGCTTATACCTCCTAAGTTGATTCGAGCTTATCCGAGGTCAATATTGAATATTCACCCTTCACTTCTCCCAGCTTTTGGAGGCAAAGGTTATTACGGGATGAAGGTGCACAAAGCAGTGATTGCTTCTGGAGCTAGGTAAAGCCCGTACCACTAACTAATCCATGTTCGCACCAGGCAGGGATAAAGTACTGGCCATATACAAGAGGGGGTTTGAACTCCCGACCTCTCTTAAGTGATAAGAGTGCATGGCCACTCACGCCAACCAAGCTGGTTTGGATACCCCTTCTTTAATCCTTATATCAGCATGTATTAAGCTATAGTGGCCAATACGCAGATATTCCGGTCCCACAATCCATTATGTTGACGAGGAGTATGACACGGGACGTATCCTTGCTCAAAGGGTTGTCCCTGTGCTTGCCAATGACACAGCAGAAGATCTGGCTGCAAGGGTTCTCCATGAGGTTAGGCACTTACGAAATTTTACTTTTGCAGTTCTTACAATTCATATTTTCTGTGAGGATTTCGATTTGACATCAATATTCTCAATCATACTTTCGAGATCCACATTGTCTTTTTCTAGAATGTCAGCCTCCTTTAAAGATACATCTCTCGGTCATCATCTAATCACGCCTCTTGCTCCTTAAAGTGATACTTATGACAAACGATATATACAACATGAAAAGGAAAGCAAACCCGAAGTATCTAGACTTGGATACAGTGAATTGCTAAGGGAACATTTTGAAACCTATCAGATATTTACTTGCTTGATTTTTGCATCGTGTATATATCGTTAACACGTATACTTTGTATGTATAGCAGGAGCATAAATTATATGTAGAAGTAGCAGCAGCACTATGCGAAGAAAGAATACTTTGGCGGGATGATGGCGTCCCTCTCATCCAGAGTAAAGAAAATCCAAACCAGTACACATAACCCAAGTTTCCTTTTAGCTGCTCGGTGCCTAACATGGTTTCATGCTAACCAACAATTTCTGTAAGAATCACTGCTGTAGTTCATGTTTTATGTATCTGCAACAATCATCCTACACTTGTATAATTGACTTGTTCCGATTTTTTTCTTGTTTTTTGAGAGTTGGATTGAAGCATATAAGCCCAGTCATATATACTGGACAATTCTTGTGATGCAAGATTTATCTCTTGATATAGTAAAATCTTGAGGGATGGATTAAGAATGCCCTTTCTTTCCTAAGTTAATTTCAATTTTAGTCCATCAATTGTTGTTTTTTCTTACTTTAAACTTTTGATTTTCAAAATTTGAGTGGAAAGCTTTCTTCTCAAATTCACAGAACCACTTATTGTGCAGAGTACTTGTACTCAACAAAAATCAAATTGTAGAGGCAACTTCAACTAAGTTTACTTGGTTAGGCTGTTGGTTTGATAATTACAAGGTTTTAATTCCGATTACTAGTAGGAGTAGCCTATTGGTTATCTTGCTTTGAACTGGTTAGTTAGGGAGTTTATCCCGTGCACACCTTTAGGTAATGGCTGTGGGTTTGGAACAACGTTTCAGTCTATCAATGGTTTTCTTAGAGGTTTATGAATATGAAACAACCTTAAAATCATTGTTTACAAGTCAGATGGCAGACATGGAAAAGTCACCAAAAGAGTTGCTTCAACCAAATGGGAAGCCCTGAACACAATAGAAACTAGAAAACTCAAGAATGTCTTGGCATAAAACATTGGTATCATTCAAGTGCTTACACACATCATAATCTCTAATTCCAACCTTTTAGTAAAGGGAAAAAAAATGGCATGAAATACAATAGAGATTTCTTAGGAATCATGATTTAACAGAAATTTGGAATTCTGATTCTATTTCAACTCGACTTCTCTCACTAAACAGGACTTCAGTTCCAGAATATGATCAAAGGTCTCAAAAACAGGCATTTGGAGTACTCATAAGGAGAGTCGTCGTCGTCGTTCATTTTGGTAGTCACAGTGCGGAACAAGCAGCAGAGATGCAACTCTGAGGATCAAGATCGATCCTCGTATACTTCTCTGCTTCTCGATTTTTTGCTTTCACCTTTATATTTCGCAATGCTATCATCTCTAGTTTCAGATTCATATTTCTGATTTTCAGAATTGTATGCAGGTTCTGCAAGTGTTAGTGTATTACCAATCAAATTGCATGCTTCCTTTCAGGGATATATAAACCCGAGTAATGTCGATAAATTGATGACTTGAATCCATCTGCGAAAGCACACCACAACTCGTCAGTTACAGGTGAGTGATAAAATGGATGAAGTGACAAATTCTTCTTGGCAAACAAAAATTTGGTCGAGTTTATATTTGAGAGGTATGTACGCCACAAAGATTATTGATAGGCCATAATATAATAGAAAGTAATGAAGAACTTACCCACCCCATCGCTTGTTTCTGTTTTCACATGAAGATTCATAGTGTGAGTTGGTCTACGGGTGTTTCAACTTCCGAGGGGCTTTCGATGTCTTGAAGATATTTGCACATCAAGTGTTTACGCCTCTGCAACGTGAGCAGGACCAAGATACTATCGGTCTTTACAATGCTATAACCTGCCTTGGTATACATGTTGTATGGTCCTGCATCGATCATTCGACAGTGCAAGTAGACCGTTTTCGAGGCACTCATTTTAGAAATTAGTTCCTCGCTTGCTTTCAACAGGTGCCAACCTATGCCCCTCCTGGGAAAAATATATATATATATTGATGCAACATAAAAAATCAATCTTACACAAACCAAACATAACAGATTACAGGTACAGACCTTTCATCACATCACTAATCAAGCTCCTCTAACTAGTTTGAACATCTTTGGCCATTGCTAAACAATATATGGTTCCAATCATCATCTTACTAATACAGTAATACAGTATAGTAACATATGCTCATTTGAGAAAAATCTCAAAATAGATTATTGTATATTTGTCGATTACCACTATGCCAAAAACTATAATGGTCTTTTTCGAAAGGCAAGATGCTGGACAATCCCCCTAGTCATATGGTGTTGGGACTTGGTCTAGCACCTGTTAGTAGCCACTTGGTGCGCTAGCACCTCCCTGCCGTGACCCGACTCTGATACCCTTTGTTAGGATTAACTGATTAAGTGCTTAAAGCTATAGCTCGTAGCGAAGGATCAACTTTATTTCCTCATACCGCCACATTTTCGAGAGACAGGATGCTAGACTGGACTTGACCCTTCAGGCCTCCGCCAAACAATTCCCTCTAAACACCTCATGCTGGACTTGGCCCTCCACCAGCCTCAACCCAACCGTCTTTAAGTTTAATGTAAACTTAATTTTACTCTCAAGTCTAATAGCAATTAGCAAGCAAACCAACTCTTGAAACATAGTAACTCAAAGTCCCTGTTTGGTAAAATAATTAGCCTATAAGCTAATTTTGGCTTATTTGACCACTATTAACAGTTTGACTTGATTAAACAATCAATATGAGTGTTTGATTAATTAGCTCTTTGTAACAACTTATTGCTCCAAAATGTTGAAATTCAAAAAACTGCTCAAAGTAACTTTTTTCGATAAGTTTGTTGAGAGAGTCATTTTGCATGTAATCAGATAATTTACCAAACACTTTTCTATAATGAACTAATGATATTAACTAATCAAACCCACTAATCCAATCAGCTAACAACTATTTACCAAACACTCCCAAAGACAAAGCAACAGAGGTATTACAAGTAGAAATACAACATCCCAACATAGAGTGGACAAATCAACCACAATTAACAAAGTCAAGATGTTTCCTTCTTCTATGAACTATAAACCATAACTGTCTAAATTAACCAACTTATTCTATATCCTTGTATGATATTGATGCAGATAAGTCTGAGACAGAAGATGTAGCATAACACTTACCTCCTCAAAGATTGCCTGACAGCCATATTGGATATGTAAGGTGCATTCTTGGGAGCAGTAGGTGTGTGAGGACTATCATTAGCACCCCTTCTGTCAAAACACACCTCCACAGTCCCAGCCAGCATCAACTCTCCCTCCCCATCCCCATTTTCTCTGTAGAATCCAACAAGTGTTGCTGTGTGAGGCATCAAGCTTCTCCTCTCAATCAAATACTGCTTCACAAAAAACTCCAAGAGCTTCAAATACCCCAAGGATATCATCATGGACTCCGCAAACGACTCTGCCAACAACCTCACTGTCATGTCCATCTCCTCTTGCCTCATCACGCTCACCCAGAGCGACCCAGACTCCAATTCTTGAGAATACGAGTAGTTGTCGAGGAACTGGAGCTTCTCGAGGTCTTCATTGGCGAGAAACCGGGCTGTTGGGAGAGGGTTTTGAAGGGATAGCGGCGGTGTGGTTGAGGAAGAGGAAGAGGAAGAGGAAGAGTTGGAGGTTGAGAGTAGAGGTGAGATGAGATTGGGAGAGCTGAAATTGGAGGAGATGGCAAAAGGGCGAGTGGGTTTTGGGGTAAAGGTTGAATCTTGAGGGTAGTTGAAGTAGGGAATATGGTGAAAAGAGTGGTGGCGGTGATGGTGAGTTCGGGGATCGAAGAAGAGGGAGCAACAAATACTAGCGGCCATTTCTGATGAGATGAGACAGGAGAACGTGAACGTGTTCCGATGATTTTCTGGGAAAAAAAACACATAGATAGGGCTATCTTTTTTCTTTTTTTCTTTTTTTCTTTTTTCTTCCCCTCATCTTCTCCTTTTCATATTTTTCCTCTAAATTATTATTTATTTTCCGAAATCTTAAAACACAAATTTATAATTTTATAAGGAAAGTTCTAATAATTTTTTTTTTTTTGTTAGACCATGAAATATTCATACGAGATGAGGTTTGAACTCTCGATTTTTCTTAGAACATTCCAATAGAGTTTTTGAAATGATTTTTGGAGGGGTTTTTGAAGTTTGGAGTCTAATGTAGAAGTGATGGAAGGAGGAGAGAGAGAAAGTTGGGTTCTTGTAGAAAAGATATGTTTTTGTCTCCTAATGTGAGCCCTACCAAATAATTAAAAAGAAAAAAAAAAAAAGACAGTTAATGCGCAATAAGCGCACCAACAACGTCCAGTGGACACGTGTAGTCCGGGGATTATTACTTTTCTTTTCTTCATTCTCTTTCCTACTTGGCTCCTAAAAACTTGTGTAAAAATTAAATTGTTAAAGATGCTCTTAAAGAATGAGAGTGTACGATTACTCACGCCAACTAAGTTGGTTTCGAGCATATTCTACTCAATGAAGGTTTTTCATGGGGGTTTAGCACATGTGATAAAAAGAGAAGCTTATATTAGCAAAGGATGAGAGAGAATGAGAGTTTTTTAATGTCAATTCTATGATTTTTTGAAGAAAGAAAAAAAAAAAGTTGTGCCTTAGTGCAGAGCAAATGCCCAACGGGCGCTTAGGATGGTCACTGGTAGAATTGATAATTGAGTTAATACCCAAAATCGTCCTCGACTATAGTGGTTTTTCTCAATTTCGTCCTAAACGACTTTGGTGACCTAATATCGTCCCAGACTTTTGTGTTTCGGGCAATTTTGTCCCAGACTTTTGTGCTTTTGCTCAATTTAGTCCATCATTTGTTATTCTGTCCATTTGGTGTTAAATAAATAGACAATTAAGTAATTTTAATATTGACATCTCTTTACTCATAAACATGTGAACTGCGAAATCCCTTTTTTTTTACGAATTACTCCCAGAATTACTCCTAAAACTGCGAATATAAAATTTGATTTGCAAGTCCGGGAGTAATTCTGGGTGTAATTCGTACAAGAAAGAGGAATTTCGCACTTCACAAGTTGAAAGTAAAGAAAGATCAATATTGACATTACTGAATTGTCCCTTTATTTAACACCAATTTGACGGAATAAGAAATGGAGGACGAAATTGAACGAAACACAAAAGTCTGTGACGATATTAGGTCACCAAAGTCGTTTAGGACGAAATTGAGAAAAACCACTATAGTCGAGGACGATTTTGGGTATTAACTCATTGATAATTTGTGTAAACGAGTTTGTTAATAGGTTAACATGATAACAACACAAACATGATGGGCTAAATAACACGTAAATGACTTGTTAACTTTAACAAGATAGAGTTCTAAACACTAACATAAACATTATTTTTAAATTTAAACAAGATAATTGACGCATTCAGTTAACAAGTTTCAGATCTATACACTATAACATGATAATCCCTTTAGAACTCAGGCCATCCATACCAATGGATATTGGACCGGTTTTTGAAGAAAAGCAAAGTAAGGTGGAGTAGAGAGCTGATGGAGAGAGAAGATCAAAGTTGCTCCTGCAAAGAAGGAAATTTTATCACAAAAATTGGATCCCATCATAGCATTTACTCCTCCCATATGGCCGTGTGCAAGGCAACTAAGGCTATCATCATCTCAAAAATGTTAGCACTTGCAAGATGACATGGCCATTGAAGTGGCATTTTAAATTTCTTTTTGTTTTAATTTTCGTGCCATATGTCTAGCAAGCTTTCTTAATTGGAAAGCTTGCTAAAACTGCATGGCAGCCTTTGTGTATTTTTTTTTTCTTTATTTATTATTTGTGTATTTCAGTTATTTATTATATTATTATATTATTATATTTATAATATAATATGAAAGTGGGACAATTTTAGAAAGTGAGAATATTGCAAGGATGTAGAACAAATAGTTGATAATTTGTAAATTTGATGATAGGGAAGTTCCACCCATTTTAGAAAGTGAGAGAAATTTGCTGGGATAAGGATATCATAATGCGCCTTTTTTTTTTTTTTTTGAAATCAGATTTGTTATATATATATATATTTTTTTCTTCCCCCATTTTCTCTTTCCTATTCACACTTACAAAAATTCCTCAAAAATCACAAAAAACCCCACTATTATGGATGATCTCACTAAACATGTTAATTTTATTTTTTAAAAAATAAAACTAAATTTTTTTAATTAAATTAATAGAATATTAAAGATATTTAATTGTTTTTTTTTTTTAAAAAAAAAGATATTTAATTCATAACATACCATAATATTCATAAAATGATAAAATAATATTTAAAAATCATAACTAATACTAATATTAATGGCCTAAACAAGTTCTTTACAGAATAAGCGAGTTGACTTGTTAAGACACGAATTTAAATGAATTATTAACGAGTTAATTTATTAATATCCCCGAAACACGCTAAGGGTAAACACTAATCCGTTATTTTTGTGTAAATTTCATTGAGTTTTAACAAATTGTGTTGCAAATTGTTAGGTTTAGTCACTAGCTAGCGATCCGACTACCCCCAATTAATTTTTTAATTCATATTTTGTGCTAACTTGGCCAACACAAAAACTCCATTGTTTGGGTTAGTTTCGCAATCTTTAAAACTAAGAATTTTTTTGTAATACATCATTTGTTTTTCAACCACTCCATACAACTAAAAATCGCACTCTTTCTATTTTTGGAAGTAAATTTTGCAATAAGCAACATCTTAAGAAAAATGAATTTTCTTAATTAAACTATTATTATTAGCTGACAATATATTTAAATAAATAAATAAAGAAGAATATTAAATAACTTATCAAATAATTGGTTTTCAAATTAAATAACAATATGTCATGATATTATTAGTTTTCAACAATTTATCTATTTATTTTTTTTTTTGAATGTTACTGGCCCTATTACATTGTAGTATCTGTTCATATACTTTCTCAACCTACTGAAACACAAAGAACCAATAACGCCTCCACTGAGGCTCAAACTCATAACCTTCCAAATGGAAGTCCAACCCGGGTACCATTAGACCACATAGTCTTGGTAACAATTTATCTATTTATAATTACCATTTAATTAAACTAATGGCTTCTTAAGATTATCGGTTTAGAATCTATGATTATAAAAGGAGAATGAATCTCTACACCATTACCACTACAAAGTGATTTAAAAAATGTCATGTCACTTTCTCTTTACCAGAACTAGAGATGACAAATTGTTCCGTTCTCGATAGGGATCCCTGATGGCTGATCCCCGACCCGTCCCAATGGAAATAAAGACATGGATGCAGATACTCCTCCTTGAGACACACACACACACACACATAATTGAGATCAAATGAGAACTACCTCTTATGTGATGAGTGTGAATTATTTATTGTATATCTTGTAATGTCTGATTGTGCAGTTCTCATGTGATAATGTTTACATATCTTAGTTAAAAAAGGCACGTGATTACTCCTACACTTAAACAACACCACCGAATGCTAATATCTATTACTCTTTAATCTGAAGCCCAACATTAATTTTCATTTTCATCATCTTCATCTTGCTCTCCTTCTTCTTCTTCCTTATTTATTTTTTCACACATGAATGATAAATCGCACTGGAAAAATCTTATAAGATAAACTTGACTAAAAAAGTATTAACAAAAATTTAACTCATGATCTTAAAGTACAAGAATTATGTTCTACCTATTTAACCACCCTTTCGAAGCCACTGTCTTTCAATTCGAATAGTGGGTGTCTCTCTTGTAGCAATTGATTATATATTCAAACCATTTAACACCTCTCACTGCACTTATGAGTGCAGTATCCACTGATTGTGAGTGTCAACTTTATTTTATTGCTTTAATAATTGATTCCCATATTATTTTTCTTCAACATTATCTTGTGAAAATACTTAATTACACATTTAGATTTTTATATATTTTGGTTTTCATTTCTGGATATGGTTTTGACATTCTTAATTAACTAGTGGAAGACAAATGGGATAACATAACTCAAATTGTAAATGATGGCTACACTTGCTTACTATTTTAAATCATATATTATTTCGGGTTAGGTATTAAACATGTTTTAATCAAGTTGTTGGTTCTAAAGGGTTAGTTAACATTTTATACAATATATGGTTTATTTAAAAAAAAAAAAAAAATTAAAAGGTTCATGTGTATTGTAATTTTTTTGGGTGATGAGAGAAATCTATAGCCACTATTTTAGCGTGTATATTGGGTAAATATCGCTCACGTGTAATAGTCCTCAGATCATGCAAAATAAGTAAATCACACTAAGAAGACCATGTGCCACAAACTCGATTAAGTGAGTATTGACAATAATCGAACTCGTAAATTTTAGATACAAAAATTATGCTCTATTTATTTGATTATCCTTTTCAGGGTAGGTGTCCTACCATTTTAATATAGGGTTTGGGCTTGCTAGGTGGAGAAAATGTTGCAGAGATATCATTCTTGTTTACATCCTTACTAATTGTGTCACTTTGTTAATAATTCAATTCCAACTTAAAAACTAAAAATAGTGACACCAGTAAAAATGGACTAAATATGCTATTTTACTATAACCCAAAAAATATAACCCAACTTAGGGGTGCCTAGGTGGCCTTTTTACAACATTGCTCACAATTCCTAACAAGGTTTGAATTCATGAATAAAATTTTGATCTCAAGAATCTTGCAAGTTATAGACTCATGTTAAAAAAAAATAGTTATAATTTTATAGGGTTTTGACTTCAATAAAAAGTTTTAGAAGGGTGAAATAGATTTTTTCTTTTTTGTTCATTTATTTATACAAAATAATGATTTTAATAATTTAATTGTTACATAAGTATCATTAACCTTCTAACTTTTTTATGAGACGACAATTTTTACAATTACATTTTTTGACCACTAATGGAGATCTTAATAGTTCAGAATTACAAAATTACAATT